AAACCCTGAATTTTCAAGAGAAGTCCACAGCCCATGCTCCTCAATTTCTCAGCTTTTTCACAGTTTATTCTGCACATATAACTAAACCAAAGTCTAAGAGTACTAAGGAGACTTCATACATAATTGCCCATAGAACTGCATTCCCAGATTTACTGACACTGATGGCAATTGATTTTTGAGCAGCTGAGAGGTGCTCATACTTAATGGTGCACATTAAAACATATATTTCCACTGAACCCATTTCCAGGAGTTTTATATACATTTGTTGTTGTTTAGTTGTTAAGTTGTGTCTGACTCTTCGTGACCCCATGGACCAGAGCACATCAGGCCCTCCTGTCTTCCACTGCCTCCCAGAGTTTGGTCAAATTCATTTTGGTAGCTTCGATGACACTGTCCAACCATCTTGTCCTCTGTCGTCTCCTTCTCCTCTTGCCTTCATACTTTCCCAACATCAGGGTCTTTTTTCCAGGGAGTTTTCTCTTCTCATCAGATGGCCAAGGACCCTCAGCAATCCATGAAGGGGTTTATATACATTACTGAGCATAAAAAAGTAAATGTGCTTCTAACACTGGAAAATCTTCTTGTTGGCTTCTTGTTATTTATTATTTTCCTGTATTAATGTTTGTGGTAAGTAAAAGAATATTGCCTGAAGGAAGAGGTCATTATCTTGTAAAGTGTCTAAGATCTTCTACTGGGATACAAGATCATGTAGAATAAGTTGCCAGGTTCCAGTGATGTGTGGGAAAGGCCTTAGCAAAGACTACTGTATTATATTAATAACACAGAGGACACCTGATTTCTGCACCCCTGCCACTAATGAAGACCAGACATTAGCACATATTTACCAAAAACAAGGAATGTTTAAAACCTTGCTTTGTCTGCCAGTTCTATTTAGAAGGCAATGTAAACTTAAAACATATCTACTTATTGACAATAAATTATATCACATATGATAATTTCCAAGAAAAAAAGCATTAAATCCTTCTCCACTCTTCTATTTTTTGTGTATTTATTATTCAATATATTTATATTCCACTCGCCCTCCAGGAATGTCAGTATCAGAGCATCTGTTGCTCAGGAAGACATGTGTAATTATTTCGCACCTTTTAAAAAAAGTTTAATGAAAAGCAGCTGCTCCAAACCAGAGTTGGAATTGAGGAAAGACAGGGGAAGGGCTGTACAAGATTCACACCCAGCTGTATTCCCATTTAAAACTGCCTCTACCCCAGACTGCCTAATCTCCTACCCCCAGAATTTACTTTTTACCTCTACAGGAAAAAAAAAAAAGAAAAAATACAGGGGAGGAAAATTGGTTGATTGGGAAATCTGCACAAGTAGAAGAAAGAGTTTTCACTCCTATCTCTGATCAAACCTAGAGGTCCCTTGGATGTTAATTTAAAAAACAAACAAACATGAGATTTTTTTCCCAAATGTCTATCTCGGTATATGCCAACAGCAGTACAATATTCTAGACTCACTGAATAAATCAGACAACTTCTCCCTAAGACTTCTGTTTAAATCTTTAAGGAAACCACACCCAGGTAGAAAAGAGAGGGAGTTGCCATTTAAACGTCTTTTCAAGAGACAATTCCGCATATGGCAAAATATTACTAATAAACATGCCCCCACAAAATATTAGTGTGCTCCTCAAAGCTTCCCTTTAAAAAAACACATTCCATTATCAGACGTGGTCTACCAGAGGCCAGTCTTACCCAAAGAAGCAGGATCCACACACACCCATCAGTTGCCATTCCACATCATCCACCTGACTAAAACACTTGAAGGTTTCAAAGCTGCCACATAATTGGGACCACCAGTAGTGATTTATTTATAGATAGATAGATAGATAGATAGATAGATAGATAGATAGATAGATAGATAGATAGATAGATAGATAGATAGATAGATAGATAGATAGATAGAATGCTCCCCACATCCCAAGGCTGCCAAAGGCTTCCCCTAACTAAAAGGGAATTCCTGAAAAGGAGCCTTGAAACCTTGGGAGGTAGGAACAAGATGCTTGAAATGAAATGAACATTGTAGACTGATGACATCATTGCCATTTATGTCTGTGTAGTTACACTAAATGGATTTTTAAAATTGCCGTATTGTTATATGTATTACCATGTGGGGTCTTTGAGATTTGTAAGTTTTAACTTGTAAACTGCATGTAGTAGCATGTGCTTTAATGGGCTGTATATAAATAAAATAAATAATAAATTCCATCTACTAAAAATTGTTCCAAACTCTGTCACTTACTGAAAATTTTTATTAGGGCAAACAAGTACTGCTGGAAACAGTTGACATCATGTAGTAATTCCAAAGTATTTTTATCTCTTTCTTCTTGTTCTTTTACTTGACTGTCTACTTTGAAGAAGACTTTATTGAGATCTTGTTTTCTCCGTGACTTTTTAAAACACTTTATGGTGGTCTTGTTTTCCCTGTGACTTTTAAAAACTGGTTTGACGGGCAGACATTTAGCATTTTAAAATTCTTTGCATCTCTTCATCTCCTTATTTGGAAAAAACCTTCAGAGCAGCTACTTTCCCCCCAACATGTTGGCAGCAGCTGAAAGATACAGCAGCTCAGCCAGTAACCAAGATCCACCTCAGCACAGCATTTGTTGTCTTCAGCTCATCCACAGTGATTGTTTCCAGCCCTTTGGTTCTAGTCACAAGGGAACCCTGAGTGCAGGGGCGGAGTTGCCTGTTGGGGGGGGGGACAATCACACATGAGAGGGGCTCCATGTGTTGCTGGGATCCTTCGGCAGCAGCACATTAATCCAGGCAAGAAGCCCTTGCCAGAGCAGCTGGCTGCCTGGGAGGCAGGGTTGAGCCAGCTGCTTGGAGGGATTGGTGCACCACTGCTGAAGGACCCCAGCGATGTGCAGATCCTGATTAGTGGCTTGGGGCGGGGGGAATCCGCACCACCTTGGTGCCGTGCTTCATATCTAATACGAATACGAAGTGCCTGTGTCTATTGGCTATAAAAACACCTTTGAAAAGAAGCTAAAACAGTAAACTGATGTTGTTAGGAATAAACAAATGTCTTATTTCAAGATTCATATAATTGGCAATCAGTACTGACAACAACACACCACAGTGAAAGTTGCTGCAGATAACCAAGACCATAGAAATGGTCTGTACAAAAATGTACCACTGCTTTTCAATTTGTATTCCAAGAAATATCTTTATTGTTGTCAATGGTAACATGCTCAATAACATCTGATACACAAATGGTACAATAACTTTTTGACAATTTAGATAGTATGAAAATGTTACACAAAGACAATGACATAAGTGATAAACACAGTCTAAAATGATTGTTATGAAAACTAAGTTCATAATGCAGTGGTGCCTCGCACAGCGAGGTTAATCCGTTCTGGATTAACCCTCGCTGTGTGAAAGCATCGTTGAACGGGGCAAGAAAACCAATTGGAACACATTAAACAGTGTTTAATGCGTTCCAATTGGGCTGAATACTCACTGTTCAACAATGCTTCCGGGTGGCTGGCAGCCATTTTCGCGCCCTCCCCTCGCTGAACGAGGGCGCGAAAATGGCTGCGATCAGCTGTCTGGGCGTTCCAATTGGGCCGAATACTCACCGTTCAGCGATGCTTCAGGATGGCCAGCAGCCATTTTCGCGCCCTCCCCTCGCTTTACGAGGGCGCGAAAACGCTGCACGCAGCCATTTTGTAGCCGCCGACCAGCTGATCGGCGGGGCGCAAAGCAAAGGTCGGTAAGTGAACCGCTTACCGACCTTCGCTCTGTGAATTGTGCCCTATTTAGGTGCCGTTTTGCGATCGCTTTTGCGATCGCAAAAACGGCACTGTTGCGCGGATTCGTCGCTCTACGGAGCGACCGTTCTGCGAGGCACCACTGTACATAAGAACATAAGAAGAGCCCTGCTGGATCAGGCCAAGGGCTCATTTAGTCCAGCTGCCTGCATCTCACAATGGCCCCACCAGAGGCCTCTGGGAGCACACGAGACAACTAGATACATGTCCGCTGATACTCCTCCCTTGCTCCTGGCATTTTGAGGAACCATTCTTTTAAGCCTGGAGATTATACATCCCCATCGTGGCTTGTAACCTGCCATGGACTTTTCCTCCAGAAATATGTCCAGTACCCTTTTAGAGGCATCTATGACAGATGCCATCACAACATCCTGTGGGAAGGAGTTCCACAGACTAACAACACGCTGGGTAAAGAAAGATTTTCTTTTGTCTGTTCTTGCTCTCCCAACACTCAATTGGAGTGGGTGTCCCCTGGTTCTGGTATTGCATGAGAGGGAAAAGAGCTTCCCTCTATCCACTTGATCCATCCACTGAATAGTTTTATATGTCTCAGTAATGGCCCCCTTTACCTACATTGGGTTGCTGATATTAATTGGTAAAGTCAGCAACCCAAGAAATGCTTCTAAAGATCCAAAATAAAAATGAAATGTTGATAAATAAAAGTATTTTGGAAATTGGTTAAATGAATCCTCAGTCACAAAATAAAGGCTAGAAAAGAGATGGCCAAAGCAATTTCCGTAGGATAGAGAATGTATCAATACAACTCAAACTTTAAACTTTAAGAATTTACCTTGTACGCTGCAATGTATTCTCAGCTCTATTATATGGCCTCGAATTATGGGATGCAACACAGGCAATAAAACGTATTACAGGATGATAAAAAATTCCAGATCAAGAGGATGACCAATAGTAAGGAATTTGGGCAAATGAATGAAGGTCAAGAAAATATAAAATACATAAAATGCAGAATGCTATAAAACTTTAATCATATAATGATAAATAAAAAATACTGCTTGATACAGATGATCACTCTAAAAGGTGTTAAGGAATCTTGGATACAGATTTGAATGCAGTTCAACGTCAGCATTCATCAAAGCTGCCACGCCCGAAGACAGTTTAGTCACCGGGACCTTCAACACCTGCCAATAAAAGAGCAAGCGAAAGAAGAATAAAATGCTGTCAGTGGAAAGGCTCGTCTTTCCAAACTGCGCCTCTCGGCGTCGTCAGGCGGCTTCAAACAGGCGAGCGGCCGCGTGCGCCACCCATGCCCGGCAGACGACGCCTTTCGCGCCCTCTCTCTTCCCACGAGCACGCCCGGCCCTTATCGCCCGGCCAAGGCCTTCCTCGGAGCCAAACAGGGAGTGTGACAAGGACGTGGGCGGAACCTCCAAGGGCGGCGCATGCGTATCAGGGCCGTGGAGGGGGTGTGGCGTGGAGCTCGGACCCGGCGCGTCTCCAGGTAATGAGGGGGGGATGGGCGAGTGCGGTTTTTTTTTTTTAATTTTAATTTGGTTCCCAGTGTGTGAGGAAACCGGGGATCTCCTCTAAGCGCGCTCCCGTCGTCAAGGCGAGGCGGTTGGGGTGCGCTTTGCCCACTGCGCCGCCGCCGAGGCAGGGCTTCGGAGGTTCCGGGGTCCTCTGTGGGCCCCGGCTGTCTCTTGCCCTTTCAGGGGACGCCGCCGGCTCTCCCGCGTCCTCCTCGAGAAGCCCGGAACTCTCTCGGTGGAGGGCCCGTCCTGGGGGGGGGG